GTGTATATTGAAACTGCTGAACTGGATGGGTACGATAAGAAATAGTGACATTATGTACTTAAATACTCTCCGCCCTCTGTATCTCCTCTCTCTCTCTCCTTCCTCTCTCTCTCCCTTTCTTTCTCCCCCTCTCTCTCTCTTAGTGAGACTAATTTGAAAGTGAGACAAGCCTTACCTGAGACAGCTGATATGAAAGACAATGAAAATGATCTTGGAAGTTTTAATGGTGAGAGAGTGAAGATGTACACACAGCAGCAGTATGTGACATGTGCATGTACTGCACTTCCAGTTTATGCCATTATATTTGCATACAGTACATTGTGCATGTATGATTATGCAACTCAAAAACTTATTATGTATACATGTAATGAGTAGTCATTGTTTCCTTTCTTTGTATGTTTATTTATTTATATAATAATAACAAATTGTTCAACTTTTATGACACATTGCAATGTGAATTGTTGTCTATATTCTCGCCCACACACTTGATTAAAATTCCTTTTTTTGCACTTTCAGTAATGTAGCACCTATCCTAGCTGTCTTATTTATTACTGGAATAATAATAATAATAATGATTTCAACTAACATTCCATAGTACCCACCCTAAGTGCATGTATATGTACATGTAATGTAATATGTCAGTAGTGCAATGAGAACTATACTTAATGTCATTGTAATGTTTCTATTTTCTATACACATTCTCTGTAAGTGGAAACAGTTTAATTGCATTAACTGAGTAGGAAAAGAAGCTTATTTACTCTCCCTCTCTCTCTGTCTCTCTCTCTTTCTTTCTCTCTCTTCCCCTCTCTCCCTCCCTTCCTTCCTCTCACTGATATTAATGTGTAGGTTATGTTGAATGTGAAGTTCCTAATAATAGACTCCACAAGTTTGTTGGCTCACTCGCTTGGAACAATGAGAAGCACTCACTATCCAATGACCAAATCCTGTTAAGAGTAAGGACTATATTTGTATAAAATGTACACGTGTACAATACATGGACATTGTTATATTATTATTATTATTATTATTATTGTTGTTGTTGTTGTTGTAGGGTTGTAGGTTGAGGAACACTGAGTGGATGTATGGCCTAGTTGTTTATGCTGGACACGATACTAAACTAGTGAAGAACAGTGGTATGTATATACATCCTAATTAATATTTAATAATAATAATAGTTAATTTATAAAATTATTATCATTATTATTGATTAATAGGGCGTACTAAGTTCAAGAGGACTCACATTGATAATATGATGAATAAAATGGTCTTATTTGTAAGTATCTCATAATGATATTCATTGCTGTTGACCACACCCACCAATTAGATACTAGGATTTCTTGGTTTCTGCGTCACGGTGACACTGATTGGGTCTGCAATATGGGAGAGTCTTTACGGAACTGTAAGTCACACCCATTCTAGGTCACGTGACGATCATGGGTTATTTTTTTAGAATTTTCAAGTGTACGTCCCGTTTGATACAAGATTTGATAACCCGGCAAAGATTGCTTTTGTTCAAATCATCTCAAACATCATTGTCTTTAATACATTTGTACCGATATCCCTCTATGTGTCGTAAGTAAAAGTACATGCACATGTACATGTACCCAGGGTTTCCCCACAAAGCATGCTAAGTGAGCTAAACAGCATGAGCTTCACGAGCTGACAAGCACTACAATACAGTACATGGCATTTGGAGCAACTTTTAAAATTCATAAAAAATCCAAACTTGATTGGAATCAACTCAAACTTTCCACGCAACATAATAACATGTATATGTATCAGAAAAAATTATAAAAGTGAAGAATTCTCTCCTAGTCATTTTTGACGAAATTCGGCCAAAATCCCTGTACTATAGTACAGGGTTTTTGGCCCGATTTTTCAGCAACTTTAAAAATTCATAAAAAATCCAATTTGATCGGAATCAGCTCAAACTTGATACACAACACAAGAACATGTATATGTATCAGAAAAAATTATAAAAATGGAGAATTCTCTCCTAGCCATTTTTGACGAAATTTGGCCAATACCTATTATTATAGCCTTCCCTTTCTCTCTTTCTCCCTCTCCCTCTCCCTCTCTCTCTCTCTCCTAGTGTTGAGGTCATTAGGTTAGGATTGTCTTTCATCATTAATTGGGACTTGAAGATGTATTATGAGACAAACGACATACCTGCCATTGCTAGGTAAGCCAAGTGGACCTCTCTACATGTGGGTATTTTCATGCTTCTTAAATTTTTTTCTACAGAACAACAACTCTTAACGAAGAATTGGGACAAATTGAATATGTCTTTTCAGACAAAGTAAATTACAAATAATTATACCTCATGAAAAAAAGAATGTATGGTTCCTCATGTTACATGATATACATGCATAAAAACAGATGTCTTTCATGACAAAACCTGTATGTTTTTTCATGGGGTATATATATGTACATGTATTTATTGTACATGCATGCAGTAATGTAAATGTGTATTATGTAATTACTATGATTGGCATCAACTAAGTGTGTTACTGGAGTTTTTCCAAATTAGCAAAATGCCTATTGTACTTGCATTGTGCATGTATAATGTAATTTTATCTCTTTCTCTATTTTAGACTGGCACTTTAACGCAGAATATAATGAAGTTTCGTAAATGCACTATAAATGGTGTCAAATATGGTGAACCTACAGTGGAATCAAAGGTATGGCTCCACTTCTTGACCACGCCCATTTAATAACGACTCCCCTTAGCCCATTGATTTTTCTCCGTGGAATCCTTATGCTCAAGATGATTTTGAATTCTGTGATAATGATCTTGTTGAACTCTGTCGTTCTGGAAAAGACCCAGTAAGAAATAATTTTGTAATAATAATAATAATAATGGTAATTATAATAATTTCTGTCTCTTTTTTAGTTTGTTGAAGATTTCTTTAAGTTGATCGCTTTGTGTCACACTGTTCTACCATCACAAGATGCAGAGGGTAAGTACTGCATACACTTTACACATGAGTATAGCCATTAATCGCTCTATCTTTCTCTCTCCCTCTCTTTCTCTCTCTGCAGGTAAGTTAGACTATAATGCTCAGTCTCCTGATGAAGCTGCTCTTGTGTCTGCTGCTAGGAACCTTGGATATGCTTTCACTGTAAGACATAATTAATAATAATAATAATAGTAAATAAATAAATAAATAATAATAATAGCAAATTAGCAATAAAATTAACTACTTTGATGAATGAATAAATTAGAAATAAATTCAATTTTATGTGTTTTAGACAAGGACTCCATTCACTGTCTCAGTTGATTTGTTGAACAGAGAACAACACGGACTACCTAGCTCTGTAAGACACAGAGAGAGTGACATATGTACATCATTTATTAATGTATTTCTCTCACACACACACACATACATGTACACGTACATGTACATCAGGTTAATTATGAGGTTCTCAATATTCTTGATTTCAATAACGAGAGGAAGAGGATGTCGGTGATAGTCCGTGACCCAGAGACAGGAAAACTGACTCTTTACTGCAAAGGAGCTGATACTGTTATATTTGAGAGACTAGACCCTTCTTGTGATGAACTACAGAGCACTACACTTGAACATTTGGGAGTAAGTATAGATACATGTATAAGTACATGTGTACATGTACATGTACATTTATATATACATGTTTACATTAATTTTCTTGTGCCCTACATGTTATAGTACAAGTGTTTGTGAGTATATAGTAGTTTCAGTTTGTCTCTTGCTATTTTTAGAATAATGATTGGTGTCCTTTGAGTTGTTATTGTTTTTATATTAGATGTAGCATTGTTATGATTTTGTCTCTCTCTTGATATCTCTCTCCCTCCCACCCTCCTTCTCTCCCTCTCTCTCTCTCTCTCCTCTCTCTCTCTCTCTCTCTCTCTCTCTCTCTCTCCCCCCCCTCTCTCTCTCTCTCTCTCTCTCTCTCTCCCTCTCTCTCCTCCCCTCTCTCCCCCTCTCTCTCATAGACTTATGCCACTGAAGGTTTAAGGACACTAGTGCTTGCTAAGAAAGATATTGGCATTGATGAGTATACTGAATGGTCCAAAGAATACACTGAAGCTAGGTAGAACAACTCTAAATTTAGAAAAAGAGACTCATTATCATTATTATATGTATTATTTTTATGTTCTAGCTTGCTCACTGAAGGTAGAGACTTGGCTGTTGACAAAGTAAGTTGCTCCTCTCCTTTCTCTTTTGACATGTACTGTACATACTGTACTTATAATGTGCTGGTATTATGTGTGTGTGCATGCATGTAGATATACAATAAGATTGAACAGAACCTTATACTGATTGGTGCTACTGCTATTGAAGATAAACTCCAAGATGGAGTACCAGAAACTATTGCTAATCTAGCCAGGGTGAGTTGCGTTTCATTGATTTGTACATATTGGTAATTTTCACGAAATTATTTTATTCTTATTTGTATTTTTAGGCTGATATTAAGATATGGGTACTAACCGGTGACAAGCTAGGTAGGAATGGATAATAAATCTAAATTAAAATGGCTCCTTTTTCTCTCCTTTCTCTCCCTTAGAAACTGCCATTAACATTGGTTATTCCTGTAAACTCCTCACGGAAGAGATGAAGATATTCATAGTGAACTCTGAAGAAAAGGCAGAAGTGAGAGAGCGGCTGCAAGATGCTAAAGACTGGATTGATAAGAAGGACTCTCGCCCTGAACCAACCACTGACGAACCACAGGGACCTCCTTATGGAATAGTTCTTACTGGACAAACCCTGGTACGTACATGTACATGTACATATACATGTATATGCCTATTGTTAAATGTATAATATACTTACAGTGTTTAGTTTTACATGTACTTACTTGTAATACTTGGTCATGTATTGGTCATTTTTGTTACTATATATACATGTACATGTATTATGTAATTTCTTGTTACTATTTATAGCGACATGCCCTCAAAGCTGATATGGAGATGCTGTTATTGGAAACTGCTAGTCAATGTAAGGCTGTTATATGCTGTCGTGTGACTCCATTACAAAAGGTAAGGAAGAACGAGAAGTTGAAGATTAACTCTCTCTCTCTCTCTCTTCCTCCCTCCCTCCCTCTCTCTCTCTCTCTCTCCCTTCCTCCCTCCCTCCCTCTCTCCCTCTCTCTCTCTCTCTCTCTCTCTCTCTTTCCTTTCTTTCTGAGTAGAAGAAAGTTGTTGATTTGATAAAGGTTCATAAGAAAGCTGTGACTCTGGCTATAGGAGATGGTGCTAATGATGTTGGAATGATCAAAGGTACCAAACTAATTCATTATAAATAAGAATAATTATTCTCTACTCTCTCCAGCTGCTCATATTGGTGTGGGTATAAGTGGCCTTGAGGGACAGCAAGCTGTTCTTTCTTCTGATTACTCATTTGGACAATTCCGGTACATAAAACTGTACTAACTCTAGATGTATATGTACATATACATGTATTAATGTCAGTACTTAATTTTTATGTACATGTACATGTAGGGAGATTGAGCTACATGTACATGTAAGTCGGATAAGTACATTAATTGTAATTTTTGAGTTATGGCTGCAGCTACAGTGTATGTCTGAAACAATGATCCTGTAACTACATGTACATGCATACATGTATTTCTATCACCATCACATTTATGTATTTATTTATTTATTTATTTATTTATTATTTAGGTATCTTGAGAGGTTGTTGTTGGTTCATGGCAGATGGTCTTACCACAGGATGACTCTCTTCCTCAAATATTTCTTTTATAAAAACTTTGCCTTCACATTCAGTCAGTTCTTGTTTGCATTCTTCTGTGGCTTCACTGCTCAGGTAAGAATAGGACCTACATGTAGTTTTATTACCATTATTTGTGATACATATTTTACATGTACATGTAAATGTTTACTATACTACTTAATGCATGTCATGTATGTGAATCCTTTTCTTTTTTAAATGTTTCTGTTCTTTCTCTCCAGACCCTGTATGATCCTGGTTTCATTGCTGTCTACAATGTCATTTATACCTCATTCCCAGTATTAGCGATTGGCATACTGGATCAGGTAATGAATATGAAATTATAAAACTAATAAATTATTATTATGAAATTACTGTACAAGATGATCAGTTTATTGGCGATTGTGGTAATAAAATTGCCAGTATAAACCTTCCATTTAAAATTGTTTTAACCTAAGCAGGCTCGATGACAAAATTACTAGAGTAAAAAAATTAAAATAAATCATTTTGTAGGGAATGTAATTATTATAATACAATATTATCAAGAGTAAATAATGCCTAAAGAGAGTATCCAACAGGCGGCCCTATTGAGGCCTGCTACAGATGTGTTGTTATAACAACTTTTATCATTGATAATATACAGAAGTATACTGAACGTGACTTCCTAGAAATCCACACACTTGCAGCAGCCCCATGATATGTACAATGTTTACTTCCTTTTCTCTTAGGACTGTACTGAAAAGAGTTGTCTCCAGAACCCTCGTTTATACATTGCCGGTCAGAAAGGGAAGCGGTTCAATACACAAATATTTCTAATAAGTCTGCTTCGTGGGATATGTGTAGCTATTGTAGTCTTCTTTGTACTGTATGGTTTTACTTACCTCAATGTGTATCATGCTGGCTATGAGTGGGACTATCAGTCATTTGGATATGCTGCTTCTGGTGCTCTTATCTTCATTGTTAATCTGCAGGTGAGTCTAGTCCACACTTGTTGTATCTTTATATGTACACAGGGTATTTCGTCAAAAATGGCTAAGAGAGAATTCTCTATTTTTATAACTTTTCCTGATACATATACATATTTTTATGCTGTGTAGAAAGTTTGAGCTAATTCCGATCAAATTTGGATTTTTTATGAATTTTTGAAGTTGCTCAAAAATTGGGCCAAAGACCCTGTACTATAGTACAGGGTCTTTGGCTAAATTTCGCCAAAAATGACTAGGAGAGAATTCTTCATTTTTGTAATATTTCTTGATACATATACATGTTCTTATGTTGTGTAGCAAGTTTGAGCTGATTCTGATCAAAATTAGATTTTTTATGAATTTTTAAAGTTTTAGCCAAAGAACTTTGTCAAGAATGGTTAGAATATTTAGTAGGACAAAATGCCCAAAAATGCCACACGAGATTAATGCTATATTATATGAACTTTTCCCTCCTGTTAGATGGCTATGGACACTAATTACTGGAATCCCGTCATACATATATTCATATGGGGCAGCATCCTCTCCTGGTGGGTAGTCCCTCCTTTCCTAAGCAACGTCCCGTACTTCTACAATTTCAACGTTCTCTCATATTATGGCGTATCAAACGAAGTACTTGCTAGCTTCCATTTTTACTTCTACACATTCCTGGCTATGGCCCTGGCTTTGCTCCCGGTCTTCTTTGCCCGTATCATACTAACAGAGCTCTTCCCTAGTCTCCTGGACGATGTTCGTTTATCAGAAGACAAGATCAGTTCCAAGGAGAGGGCAGAGTGGTTCAAGGGTCACATACAGAGGGCTCTCCCTGGAAAGAAGGAAGAACTATTAGAGGAGGAGGGTAGGGTAACCCCTGTCTCGTCTGGCCTTTTAAGACATCAACGAAGCAGCTACGCTTTTGCACACGAGGAAGGATTTGGTAGTCACATCCTCACCGGGCGATATCTTGGAGCTAATGAAAAGGAGGTGCACTCTGAGAGAACGAGACGGAATACTCTAACTTTAGGACGACCTGGCTCACGTCCAAAGAAGCCCAGCCCACTGGAGGTTTCTAAGAGGTGCATACGTAAAGTTGATTTTATTTTTAAAATTATTTTTTATTTTCAGTGCGATGACTCTACCAAGCGATTCTAAGACTCTTAAAGCGTTAGTAAAAATAATAATTCTCTCCCTTCATCCCTCTCTCTCTCTCTTTCCCCTTCCATTGCTACATGTACATGTATATTCCTCCATTTTATTTTTGTCTATTTTCTCTCTCTCTCTCCAATACAGACTTGATGAGGTTCAAGGTTCAGCAAGTGCTTCTCCTGTGATTGAGTTGGAAGTCTCAACCAAGAAAGACGAGAAGGAGTCGCTGTAAGCTTTTAATTAACAATAATGCCTACCCCATAAATAATAATAGGTAATTGATTTGGTAATATCAATGCATGCAACACTTGAAGATTATTTAATATACTGCAACACCTAATATTGTATTGCCAATGTTTGTTTGTTTTAGTGAATAATTAATATCTAGTTTGGCATGTTAGGTAGGCTCTTTGCATTACTGATGTTGTGCATTTTTTAATTTTTTGTATACATGTACATTTATTATTATGTCTCTGTAAAATTTATCTCTTTTTTTTCTTTTTTTTTGTCTCTACATTTTCAGGGTTGAAACTATTGATAGTGCCCTCTAACTTTATTTAGATAATATTATCATGTTTAATGAGTAATTATAGAGTGATATTATTATTATTATTATCATCATTTTTGTTCTTTGTTTTTTGCTACATGCAAATTTTTAACTTTTTAATAAACAATAGCTATCATAATTAAAATATTAAATGATGTAAATGTAATTATTTATTATAATACTTCAGCTAAATTGATATGCAGCTTTTGAGATCCAGCTGCAATTCTATTATAATTAATTTTAGATTAAATGTACGTCAATCACATGTGAGTAGTATACAGGAATATACTGGAGTGTACAGAGATACTTCACAAGGATATACTGAAAGTGTCACTGGGTATACATGTACAAATCATTAAGAGTTGTGTATTCGTTCATCAATGGTCTCCATTGCTTCTTTTAACTTTTCCCACTGGTCAACAGAAAGTGATATTCCTAAAATAAATTAAAAATAAATTAGGATTGTCTTAAAACTTGGCAGTTTCTATCATAACATCTAGCTCATTCTTAATGATATTCATTGATTCTCATGTAGTGTGAGTATATATATCTCAATAGGGAACATGTGAATGAAAGGGTTACCTTTCTTCCCCGGTCGATTCTCTCCATCATCATTTACATAATATTCTCTTATGTCAATCATGATTCGTCCTTTGAATGTACGAACGTTGACAAATCTTTTAGCTGACAACTAAGGAAAACAATAATAATAAATAATAATAAATTATTGTAGCTCACAGGTATCAGTTCCTCAGTATCGATGTCACTGCTTTGAGTAGTAGCTGCAGCTGATTTTGTCCTACTCTTTTTTGTCTTAGACTGAAGTCAGAGAGGTGCAAAATGAATTATCATAAAATATGCAATAATTAATGTGGCAAAGCTAATAATTTATTTGTTGCAAGCTTTGATTTTTATAAATCATGCATCCTTTATAGCTCACTCCTGTATCTTCAGGATCGTCCGAATCATCTATAAACTCTTGAGATTTCGCTTTCCTCTTGGACGCCATTTTGAAAAATTAAAAAATCTGACCACGCCTATAGATTCTAATAAAGCCTGAGCCACGCCTATTTTAATGACAATACTAACTTTAATAAAAATTATTATTCTTTTTTAAGTTTAACAGATTCATCTTCTCGCTCTGGTATCTTTTACTAGTATTATTTTCCTAGGGGCGAGGAAATAAAGAAGACATCAGCTTCTACCGAACCTTCAAACTTACCCCCAAGCCAGGGCAGGGCGTCTTTACCAAGAAAGCAATCGCCCGGAGCAGCTAAAAGCCCAGGTAGGAGGAACAGAGCAAGATGAACGGGGAGGGTAGCGAGCCCACCTGGTCTGCCGTCGCTACTAATGGTGGTGTTGATGGAGAAGACGGTCTGAGCAATCACGATGGACTGGGCAGAAGCGGTAGTGTGAGTAGCATGTCCCCATCGCACGCTGCCAAGTACATATCCCCTCACATTGGGAACATTAACAAAGGAGTTGGTAATTGAAATTCACTATCTCTGCATGTGTTTGTAGTATATATTGTTTGTGCTATTGTGTGTGTTAGTGTCCCCTTCCCTCTTCTTTTTTTTATGCTATTCTTTCATGATTCTCTCTCTTTCTTTTTAAAATGTATGTGAGAGATTTCCTCCTAGCATGTTTTGGAAGATATTGCTATTATGTATGATAATATACATTGTATGATGCATGTACATGTACATACTCTAGCATTAATCTTGTTTACTCTTTCTCCAACTCTTCGCCTTCCTTTTGTCTAAATCCACTAATGCGTGCTCCCATATTTCATGTACCATATCCTCCATTACAGTGCTAATGTGAAGGCCTGCATGTGACTCTTATGATATTGGGTTGAGCTAAAATGTATTTTTTTTTCAAATTTGTATGTGTGTGTCTCTCTTTTTTTAAATGTTTCTCTCCTTCCCTCCTATTTTTCTTTATAACTTAATTTCCTTGTCTTTAATTAAATTCTTTTTTCTTTTATCTTCTTCTCAATTGACCTTTGTCATCCTTGTCTCTTCCCCATCTTCCCCCCCTCTCTCTCCCCCCTCTCTCTCCCCCCTCTCTCTCCCCCCTCTCTCTCCCCCCTCTCTCTCTTTTTTAGCTATTGATCTCATTTCAAGGAAGAACTCCACTTCAATGGACGAGCAAAGAAAAGAACACGTTGCATATGAGTATCTTTGCCACTTGGAAGAAGCTAAACAGTGAGTGTTTTGTTTTTAAATCCTCTCCTTCTTGAATAGCTGTTCTCACTCTTACCCTGAATGTCCTGAGTGCCATTGTTTGAGCTATAGTCTCCATTGAAGGGGTACACTTGTACACCATGTCACCATCACAAGATCATTCAGTCAATCTAAGAGAAAGAGACTAGGAGAGAGAGAGAGAGAGAGAGAATGAGAGAGAAAGGGAGAGAGAGAGAGAGGGGGGGGAGAGAGAGCGTGAGAGAAGGAGGGTGGGGGAGATGTACAGATGCATGTGTATACAAGTACAGACTCAGATAAGTGATAAAACAGTATAATAGCTACAAGATTAGTTCCACTAGCTTACTCATTTTACTCATCAATTGCCCCCAGTACACGCACTTGGTCTACATTGACATGAATATACTGTTATTCTTTATTCCTAAGGATTCACGAGTTTCCTTGTATTATAGAATTGCTGCTAATGGTATTACATTGGGCTCATTCTCTACCATATATGTACATGCTTTGCATAATGTGTTTATGTGCGTGCGTGTGTGTAAGTACATGTATCATTGAGTCTGTCATTTTGATGTGTGTATTTTGTTGATTGATGATTATACTGTAAAGGCATAACAACAGTACATTCACGAACCCACTCGAGTGTTTAACAAGTACATGTACATATATGTACATGTATACATGCACATATACATGTATACATGTACATGTATGTACATTTATATGTCATTCTTCCCATTTATTAATGGGACTTCAGTAGTAATTACTATTCTATTATAATACAGTACATGTGTATCTTCTTTGTATCGAAGCTATAGTAGATTTTAGTTAATTGTAATCTCTTTATACAAGAACACATTATAGCTGTGTATAATCAACCCATAGACATTGTACATGCTTAATTGCTTTATTCAAGTTTCACAGACTACTATTGTAGTATTAGTATTATTATTTTATCATGTAGTTCACAAGTACAATAATTATTATAATAATTAAATATATTTGTCATTACTATTGTTATTATTGTTATTATTGCTATAGACGACAGTGCACATGTTAATTATTTATTTGTCTAATGTTATGTCCCTTGTTTCTCTCATGGGATCTACTTGAGTTGACCTCGTGAATTCCATTCCAATTTAATACAATACACTATTATTATCATTATCATCATCATCATCATCATCATCATCATTATTATTATTATTGTTATTATTATTATTATCATTATTATTATCGTTATTATTATTATTATTATTATTATTATTATCGTTATTATCGTTATTATCGTTATGCCCAGTAGCTACATTTACCCTGAAAGACTAAATTCTATCATTATAAAATTACGTAATTTATATAATTTTGTTTAATCTGCTTCTAATGAATCTAATATGTACATGTACATGTAGATGTACACACATGCTCAAATTTGTTTATTCTTATTTTAAGCTTCTACTACATGTACATGTACATGCACATGTTCCGCATGTACATGTGCAATTGTCCTGTAGCCTTATTCATCTTTGCTTGCTAGTACATGTATGTGTAGATGCTTATATTGCGTTGCTTCTTTTTATTATAATTTAATTTAAAGTATCTATGGCATTTAGCAATGTGCTGACATTAGCCCTAATTGTTGCTAAAATACATGTTAATTCTAAATTACATTTCTGCCATTATACACATATTGATATATACATGTTTGTAGATGGTACATTTAATCGCTGCACTTTAATTATATATTTTTGTCTCAGTATTGGAGTACATATCCTTACATCAAAGTTATACTTTGTACCTTTTAGCCCTTTTACTCTTCATTATTGCATCTATGTACACATGTGTATTGCTGTTTGCTGACATATCAAGTGTTGAATCTGCTAACAAAATGAACAACAACTAGTTTACATTTGTTCTCTCCCTCTCTCTCTCATCATCAACCCCACATGTCCTCCTTTCCATTACATTTAGACATTAAAATAACAATCAGTTTACACATGCTTCCTACACCTGTCTAATTACACCTCTCTCTCTCTCTCTCTCTCTCTCTCTCTCTCTCTCTCTCTCTCTCTCTCTCTCTC